TCCAAATGTTTCCTGCTCGCTACCATTTGGAAGGTTGGTGACAGAGGAAACTTCCTTTTTTGAGCTTTTATTACTAACAAACCTCATTATAGGCCGTTCTTCCCTCGCTGGCCTATGTAAGTAGTTGCGTCTAAGGACTTCCAAACAATTCATTTCGGCTGGGAAGAGAATAATATATTTAATGCGAGAGAAAGACACTACTTTTAGTTCTATTTGTTGATAAAGGAAACCACATAGCTCTGTCATTCAAATTTATCTAACATCTTATCGCCAGATGTAGTTTCTTTGAAAAACAACATTTTTTCACAACAGTAGATGGTACAGTTGAAAGAAGCAAATATTTTCGAATGCTTGCATCAATTTTGGGTCAAGCTATAGTAATAATTACTAAGCGTTTCCAGTGGAACCAGTCGCTGGTATAAACGTTGAGGACAATAGCTGCTACATCACCAAACGTGTCCGCGTTTACACAAATTAAAGGCTTATTTAGCAGTGGATAATATGGATTGTCCTAAGTGTTTGGATTTTGGATGCTAGGCAACTGCATTCAGCCTGAGTTTCTATAATTTTTCTTGATCAGTTGATCAAGTTGTAGGGTTAAAATATCTTTACGTTCCAAAGACTTTCACTGGCAAGCGTCGTAAAATATCTTCGAAATGAGAGATTTGTAGGGTTTATTAGATAATTATGTCCCGATCTCGGATATACGTCTCACGAGGTTCTTTTGAGTAATTTTAATCAGGATGCACCTCAAGAGTAGTGTTTCCGACACTGTTCACATGTGTTACTCGAACTTAAGTGAGTAATTAAGTGGTGAGGGATTCCCCACATTTTTGGCACCAAAAAACGTAGCGCAGAGTATCAGTTAATTTAAACCTCAAGAACCTATGATATGGGTCAGAATTGCAAGGTTTGATATCAGGGCGTTTGAGTATAAGACATTTTCTCACAATATTTTTAGATTTTTCACCCCAAAAGTTGTAGGACAGGTCTAAACTGTTTTCCAGGCTAATGATAAAAGGATCCCCACAAGCCTTTGTTCTTTATCCCACGTTTTTAAACTCTATTAAGGTTGTGGTGGATCCCAGCAGAAGAGCTTATTCAAAATATAACAGTAGGCAAGTTTATCAATAATATACCAAAAGAGCTGATACCGAAACCCTAGGTGTCTGTCCATGAGTAAACCAAAACGTAACAAATTACATTATATGTGAAAATTATATTTGAAATATTCTCAGCGATTGAAATTTAACTAATTCCAACGTTTCGTCCGGCTAACTTGTCTGGACTTCTTCAGGGTAATAATCAGAATCAAAATTATCAAAGAAATATATACCTTTTAACAATCAGGATTATACTGTGTTATTAAAAATTCTGTGATTGTACCAGTTATGTATTTTCTTTGATAATTTAATTCGATTGGAAAATAATTTATACGAATATTCGTCAAGATTAGAACGAATAGTTTGACGAATATTCGTATAAATTATTTTCCAATCGAATTAAATTATCAAAGAAAATACATAACTGGTACAATCACAGAATTTTTAATAACACAGTATAATCCTGATTGTTAAAAGGTATATATTTCTTTGATAATTTTGATTCTGATTATTACCCTGAAGAAGTCCAGACAAGTTAGCTGGACGAAACGTTGGAATTAGTTAAATTTCAATCGCTGAGAATATTTCAAATATAATTTTCACATATAATGACTTCTCTATACTCGGCGCTCAATTACTGTCAAACTATTCGTTCTAATCTTGACGAATATTCGTGTAACAAATTACAATTACAATACAAATGGTTCTGGAGATTGTTAAGTTTTCTGAGGTTAAGCGTTCGCGCGCAAGACTGAGGGCCCTGAGTCCTAATCCTGTGAGCGGGATCGTGGATGTGCACTACGGAGGAGTCCCACAATAGGACGAAACGGCCATCCATCGCTTCCAGGTTTCCAAGGGTGGTTTAACATCAATAGGTTCATGGTCTCAATCAAGATAATAACGGTTGTTATGAAATGAATGTTACTTGTAAGCTGCTCTCTGTGATAACAACCACAAATGAGTTTACTTGATTAACGAATATTCCTCTACATGTGGTGGCACCAACGGCGTAATGAGAAAGATTGAACCCAATAGTATTACTTAATAATAATCCGGGCCAAAAATCCAGCACAGTATGGGAGGGCCTAAAAGGATGCCATAAAACCACTATAATCTTTAATCAAAGGCCGTGGCGACTAAAGCAGGACAGGCGGCGGAGATAGCGTTTATATTTCAACCAACGCGGTAGTATGTCAATATATATATCCAAACAATTATAATCGTTTAGTTTACAACTGATACGGAAAAACAATAGACATTGAATAAAAATGTAGTTACATAAAAAGTGTGACCTTGACTTCCATTCCTTCATGTGAGCTTACTCCAACTTGTTAAACGACACAACTCAATGTTCTATATTAATATATTCTCTAATATGGAGCCTCTGACTTAATTCCACTTTAACAAGGGATAATATGAATTTAATCTAATTTATTATACCTCTGTTTGTTCTACTATACAATGTTATGCAACGTTTGGCGTTCATATCCAAGTGCACTGCTGCTCTTCTGTTTCTCTTCTTTTCTTCTTCAGAATCTTGCTTTTAGGGCATAGCTATGAAACTTCTGACGTCTGGAACAAACTTGACGTACGCGTCTCCTCAAGGTCAAGGTTTACAGCGCCCTGTGGGTCTACTTCATAACAACTATAAACTTACTAAGTTGGGAAGCATGTTGTGCACTAACAAATGTTGTAATTTATAGATCGTGTCTGTAAAAATGGCGTGCACCTGCACATGCAGAAATATATATTATTAAAGAAAAAATGTGGTCTTTATTTTGCCGTTACAAAAATCACTGAATACGCATGTCACTATAAGGTTGAGGGTGTTCAGGCCTGAGCGTCTGTTGTTACTTGCATGGCCTTTCGACGTTTCGCCGTTTTTTGATCTTGAGATCAGATGTTTGGGTATAGGTTAACAAAAGAAAGCTTATGATTATCACGTAAAGAGATAATATTCATTATCTCTTCGTAATATTCATACTGAAGATGTCACAGGTATTCGGAGTTTGACAACGCTTTACCCAGTAACACCCAATATGAATCGTGCCCACCAAGTGGATTCAAAAGACAGAGGCTAGGAGGTTCGAAGATATATTTGATAGGCTATCAGTATGTCGAGGAACGTCTGACCTAATCTGGCTAGCGATTGCAGGGGTTGTTGAGCACGGTGTCCCCACTCGTGATCTGGTGCGGATGCATGACCGAGCGCCTTCAGCTAGGTGAGTCCATTAAAACTAATGTGGTCAGCATGCGATGTCGAAAACTTACAGAGCTATTTATTTACCGCTAGAATACCATCTGGATTGAGGTGTACTAGTTTTAGTCTAGGTTACTCTGAATTCTAAATCTCAGTTCTTCATTCGGCTTTCATTTAAAACCCAAGTGTCATCTTCAGACTTTCTTCGATGATCTTTGGCTTTAGTTCATAAATGCAGCCTGAAGACTTTCACATTTGCTCATTCTACTGTCTTGTAGCAACGTAAATTTCGATAACTTGATGAATACCGTAGTAAAATGGTCTTTATGAGATTTCTACCCGATTAAACAACTGATATGATACCATGGTGGTATAAATAGTGTTCAACCAGGTATTTGTTTGTGGCATAACTGAAAACTCTTAAAAACTGTCTACAAATTAGACAAATTTCGGAACTTCAGACGTGAACATAAACAACTTTCTATCAATTAGGTGTCACTGGCAAAATGTAACTATAGTCTCATTATTTTGACCATATATTAGCCTCACTATTCATATGTATATCAATATTTTCTTAATAAAGAGTCTTAAACTAGTTATACTAATTCATTTCTATGAGTTGTTTGAATCTTCCCGTTGATGTTTATTGCTGCAAATAATCAGTCCCTTTTCGGCATATGTGTGTAGCCTGGCATCGAGTCGCGGTAGACTATGAACACCACTACAAAAGGAATGCATGCCAGGATATCCATAAAATCCCCCTGAAGCCAAATATCAGAATGCAGTTAATGAACCAAGTCGAGATATATTTGCTGGCGGTCTCGTGGTATCGAAAGAATACCGAGATCGTGCCAGGATAAAACCTTGGTTACAGGGCGCAACCGAATTCGCGCAAGGTCACAATCAAAGTGTAAGAATAATAATGGAAACATAATATAGCTGTCATTATCACAGTTAAACAAAAAGCACATTAAACAAGCACAGGTACAATTGGTTATAATAATAATAATTGTTTTCATTAAACCTATCGTGTTCTCGTGATAAAAGTGAGTCACTACATGTGCATCATTTGAAGATTTCCTCAATATTGTCACCAGGTCACAATAACTATGGACAGAGTGGAATGGTTCAGGTACGTTTAGCTTACACGGGATTCCACCGCTAGTCACCATCTATCTCTGTTAAGACATGCTTGTGATATGACCATATCGAGGCAATCCTCACAGGATGTATATATGTGCCAAAAAAGACTAACTAGTTGCAGTTCTAAACACCAATGGAGAAGTGGAAAAAAACGATAAAAATGAATTAAGCTTCACCTTATTACACAAGCAAGTGGCTATTTTAACTACTTAGATTTAGCTTCAACATAAAACTGAGGGGTAACACCCAGAAACTGGCGATACGACATGACATAATAAACTGTAGACACAACTTCTATTCCCTAGGAGTTGTCAAGTGCTGGAGCTCGCTGCCGGCTGGGCTAGTCCAGGAAAATTCATAGGAGTCCTTTAAGAGGAAACTTGACCTATTCTTAAAGACTAAGAATAATATCTCATTATGGTCTACCAATTTACTTTTCCCCTATTATCGTTAACATGCCTAGATTCTTGTCTGGAGCTATTACTGATCCATTGTTACTAGACACGGAAGCTTGTTAAGCGAAAGCTTCTATTCCGTCCACAGCCTTTTGAACCACTTAACACAGTCGACAAACAGATGGCGCGGTATTTGACACAAACGGTGCTTGGTAAACATCGATCACGGCATATGGTAAGTACATCCAGCTGACACTGTACTCTACTACTAAACACTACCCACTTCTGCCTATAATGCTGGTTATATATCATTAGATGTATATATCAGTTAATTTACACTTTTGAACATCTGTAGATGATTTTGCACTACACAAGGTCTTAACGGCCCGACCAACAATGATGGCGACGCCGCTAACCTTCTGGCGGCACATTACTCTCAAACATTTCAACCGGCTGACATCAACTTTATTGACGACAGTTTCATCTGCAATTCCACAGGACTTTCCGAAGTGGACCTAAGCGCTGACTTGGTGTTCCGGAAACTGCAGCACTTAAGATTAGACACTTCTCCTGGCCCGGATATGGTCCATTCTGCCATACTGAGGGAAGCAGCCTCAATCCTGGCAACGCCGCTTAGCGTGATGTTCTCCCACTCGCTACGCCGAGGAAAACTAACGGAAGATTAGAAGCTGGCTCACATCACACCAATTTTCAAAGGAGTTCGGCGCAGCGAACCTTCAAGTTACCAACCGGTGGCTCTTCTCTCAATACCTTCAAAAATCATGGAGTCCCTGATATGCGACGGTTTAAATGACTATTTACTGTCCTTAAATTTCTTCTCACCCCAACAGCATGGTTTCAGGAAGGGTTCCTCTTGTATAACCAACCTGCTGACTGCGGTGGACAGATGGACAAGCATCCTCGATCGCAAGGGAAAGGTTGATGTCATTTACCTTGATTTCTCAAAAGCTTTTGATAAGGTTAACCACTTGTGTCTTATCAACAAGCTCAAACGACTAGGTATCAAACCACCTCTAATCGACTGGCTTACTTTATACCTAAAAAATCGACACTTTAAGGTTAGGGTTAATTTCACTTTATCTCAAGCTATGGAATGTCCTAGTGGGGTCCCCCAGGGCTCAGTACTAGGACCTCTTCTCTTCTTGATCTACATAAATGATCTTCCTCGACAGGTAACGTCAGGATTATTACTCTTTGCCGATGATGTTAAACTTTGGAGAGAGATACGCAATCAAGACGAAATACAGGCACTTCAGGAGGATCTGACTCGACTTCAAAGTTGGGCAGACGATAACGGACTTACCTTTAACACTTCAAAGTGTAAAGTGGTCCATCTGCGACATATCGCAGACTAAAGTTATAACTTAGGAAACTCCTCTCTAGTAGTATCCCAAGTCGAAAAAGATTTAGGAGTCCTGGTGCCCCATGACTTAAAGTCTTACGCTAACTGTAACAGAAATGCCTTCCGAGCAAACCTTGCACTGGTAACGTTGAAGCGCATATTTGGACAGTTTGACGGAAGAACTTTACATATAATCTTCAATAGTTTCATCCGTCCCCATTTAGAGTACGGAAACATAGTACTTCCTCCCTCACTCCAAAAGGATAAGGACACTTTGGAGCGTATCCAACGGTGAGCCACGGAATCAGTTCGAGGACTCAAATTTAAACCTTATGAAGAGCGCCTCCATTCACTAGACCTTTACCCATTAGAGTATAGACGTCTTAGAGGTGATCTATTAGTGGCTTATAGTATTCTTAACACTTCTGGACATTCTCTTAAACACCTACTTAAGCTTAGTTCGAACACTAACCTAAGGGGTAACACCCAGAAACTGGAGACACAACATAGCAGAACGGACTGTAGACACAACTTCTACTCCTTAAGAGTTGTCAAATGCTGGAACTCGCTGCCGGCCGAGCTAGTCCAAGCGACTTCTCAGGAGTCCTTCAAGAGGCAACTTGACCTATTCTTAAGGACCAAGGATAGCATCACACTATGATTTACCAATTTCTTTTCCTCTTTTATTGTTAACATACCTAGGTTCGTGCCTGGAGGATTTGGTGATCCCCTGCTACTAGACACGGAAGCCTGTTAAGCGAAAGCTTCTTCTATTCCGTCCACAACCATTTGAACCATTTGAACAATGTACACTTATTTTTCTTGTGAGTTTTATAAATATTCCAGCCTTTCTACCAAAAAATTCTTGTTCCTTAATGGGTTGATCAGTTAATCTTTTGCTGCCATTTAAAAATATCTTAGCTTTGGACAACTAGCGTAATGGGGATGGTTCAAATGGTTATGTACGGAATAGAAGAAGCTTTCGCTTAACAGGCTTCCGTGTCTAGTAGCAATGGACCACCAAATCCTCCAGGCAGGCACCTAGGTATGTTGACAATAAAAGAGGAAAAAAAGTTGGCAAATCATAATATAATGCTGTCCTTGATCCTTAAGAATAGGTCAAGTTGTCTCATGAAGGACTCCTGGGAAGTCGCTCGGACTAGCTCGGCCGGCAGCGAGTTCCAGCATTTGACAACTCTTAAGGAGTAGAAGTTGTGTCTACAGTCCGTTCTGCTATGTTGTGTCTCCAGTTTCTGGGTGTTACCCCTTAGGTTAGTGTTCGAACTAAGCTTAAGTAGGTGTTTAAAAGAATGTCCAGAAGTGTTAAGAATACTATAAGCCATTAATAAATCGCCTCTAAGACGCCTATACTCTAATGGGTAAAGGTTAAGTGATTAGAGGCGCTCTTCATTAGGTTTAAATTTGAGTCCTCGAACAGATTCCGTGGCTCACCGTTGGATACGCTCCAAAGTGTCCTTATCCTTTTGGAGTGAGGGAGGAAGTACTATGTTTCCGTACTCTAAATGGGGACGGATGAAACTATTGAAGATTATATGTAAAGTTCTTCCGTCAAACTGTCCAAAAATGCGCTTCAACGTTACCAGTGCAAGGTTTGCTCGGAAGGCATTTCTGTTACAGTTAGCGTAAGACTTTAAGTCATGGGGCACCAGGACTCCTAAATCTTTTTCGACTTGGGATACTACTAGAGAGGAGTTTCCTAAGTTGTAACTATAGTTTGCGACATGTCGCAGATGGACTATTTTACACTTTGAAGTGTTAAAGGTAAGTCCGTTATCGTCTGCCCAACTTTGAAGTCGAGTCAGATCCTCCTGAAGTGCCTGTATATCGTCTTGGTTGCGTATCTCTCTCCAATGTTTCACGTCGTCGGCAAAAAGTAATAAGTCTGATGTTACCTGTTGAGGAAGATCATTTATGTAGATCAAGAAGAGAAGAGGTCCTAGTACTGAGCCCTGGTGGACCCCACTAGGACGTTCCATAGCTTGAGATAAAGTGAAATTAACCCTAACCTTAAAGTGTCGATTTTTTAGGTATAAAGTAAGCCAGTCGATTAGAGGTGGTTTGATACCTAGTCGTTTGAGCTTGTTGATAAGACACAAGTGGTTAACCTTATCAAAAGCTTTTGAGAAATCAAGGTAAATGACACCAACCTTTCCCTTGCGATCGAGGATGCTTGTCCATCTGTCCACCGCAGTCAGCAGGTTGGTTATACAAGAGTAACCCTTCCTGAAACCATGCTGTTGGGGTGAGAAGAAATTTAAGGACAGTAAATAGTCATTTAAACCGTCGCATATCAGGGACTCCATGATTTTTGAAGGTATTGAGAGAAGAGCCACCGGTTGGTAACTTGAAGGTTCGCTGCGCCGAACTCCTTTGAAAATTGGTGTGATGTGAGCCAGCTTCTAATCTTCCGTTAGTTTTCCTCGGCGTAGCGAGTGGGAGAACATCACGCTAAGCGGCGTTGCCAGGATTGAGGCTGCTTCCCTCAGTATGGCAGAATGGACCATATCCGGGCCAGGAGAAGTGTCTAATCTTAAGTGCTGCAGTTTCCAGAACACCAAGTCAGCGCTTAGGTTCACTTCGGAAAGTCCTGTGAAACTGCAGATGACTGTCATCAGTAAAGTTGATGTCGGTCGGTTGAAATGTCTGAGAGTAATGTTCAACCAGAAGGTTAGCGGCGTCGCCATCGTTGTTGGTCGGACCGTTAAGACCTAGCAGTTGGGAAACTCCAGTTTTGGCTTGACGAAGAGAGGCTGCATAACGGAATAAGCTTTTCAGATTAGAGACAAATTTGTCCATAAGCTTTGTCTGGTACTAAAGCCTGTCTTCTCTTATAGCCTTCGTGCATATGTTCCTTATATGTTTATATTGCATGTACGCTCCGTCGTTGTCAGTTCGTTTGTATTGCGCCTAACAGTGCCTTTTGCGGCTTAGCAGGCGAAGGGTACGGTTCTTGATTATTGTAGATAGCTTGCAGCTTTTGGGAACCGTTTGAGGAACTGAATAGTTCGTAGCACATAAGAGCATGTGCAGTAAGAAGTCCCAATGAGCATCCACATCGAGTTGAGGGTGAACATCCCAATCCACCTGTTGTAGATAGTCGCGTAGAGCTGGCACATTCAACCGTTTAAAATTCCAACGCAAGTTATTGGTGGGATACCTTAGCTTAGTTTTGCTGACAAAACTGAAGGCTATGACGGCATGGTCGCTTTTTCCCAGGGGAGCTAGGATTGAGAGGTTGTCAACTAGGAATTCTTCGTTTGTGAATACACAGTCTAAGCGCGACGGTGTCTGACTGTTTCTCCAATGAGTTGCCGACCTCACATAATCCCAAATCCTCAATGAGGTTGAAGAACCGAGCTTCAATTGAGTTATCGCCTCCAGTATACGTATGTTCTGCGAAGTTGACTCTAGGGAGATTAAAGTCCCCTAGAATCAGGATGTGTGTGAAACCGAGACGAGTAGAGCGGGATAGTTCTTCCAGCATACGACTGTCGTACTCAATGTCGACGGTGGGCTTCCTATATATGAGTCCGACTAGACACCTCGAAGTAGCAGACAATCTTACAGAGCACCACATGGATTCCTCAAGATTGTTAAACTCGAGGTTATGAACTTGGTGTACCTCCAAGCAAGAACGTATGTACATGGCTACTCCACCCCCAATTCCTGATTTTCTGTCGTTGCGAAACAAAGACATCCCAGGTACTGCTAACTCCTGGTCCGAGAACTGGGATGTCCAAGTTTCAGTTATTCCTATCAGATGAGCCTTATGAGTATTGCTAAGTTCACGTAGCTCATCCATTTTGTTTGGTAGACTCGCGGCGTTCATGCTTTCAATTTGAAACGCGTGA